ATATTTTAGATTTCAAAGGCCGTCATAGTTATGGGATTGTGATATCATTCATGATTGCTGTTAATCACCAGAGACAAAAACAAAATGAATGCAATGAAATATTATTAACATATATAATTTCTTACTTGTGTCTATATGTGTGTTTTATGTGCGTATAAATTAGTATTTCTATGTGGTCTCCTGTGTGGCATATTCAGGACTGTTACAATTCACAAAAAGTTGAAAATAGACACAATGGAGATAATTTATACAGCCGATGTCGTGCGATTTTCAATGTGGTGAATGTGTGTATTCACACGAAAGAATTAGGATAAGTTCATGGATCAAAATGGATCATTAAGATTATGGGAAAAATAGAAAAACAGGACCTCACAACGACAGAAGAATATTTTTTATTCTTTGAAGATGATTACATTCTTCACTGTAGGATTTAGGTGATTATTAAGCTTTCCACTGTGGTTTGCACCTAAATATCGCGGATATATCACTAGACACAAACAAGAATCGTCGTTGAAAAATGGGTGTAAATAATACGAGAAAAAAAAACAGCAGTCGGGTGTGTAGAAGTACAAAATGACAATATAACGATATATTGTAACAAGAACAAGAGAGCGGTACTCAAGTATATAGACACGAAAACCAAATCAAAGTTGCACGGGCATGCAATCTGCCACTGTAGAGTCGTAGACTGCCGGTACCGCAGTGCTCACGACTTTGCCTGACCACCAGATCGCAAACGCGAAACCCCCACAAGGTGCACAATTTTTAATTTTGATGACGTCATCGCACACAAAAGCAAATCCAATAAACATAAAGCCCACAAACATTGCTAAGAAAAATAAAATCTTCGAGCGCTGGATATTTCAAAGCAATTGGTCCAGTAGTTTATAGCAACAAGGAAAATAATTCTAATAACATCGTAACATAATAACCTAACAAAACGATCCATATGTACACTTTGTGTCCAACAAGTAATCAAGTATGCATTTATTACTGAAACTACCCATATACCTTATACACCAAATAGATTTGATGAATCACATCTCAAGTATTCACCCACTAAGTGATCTCTTCCAATTGACCCATTTCCCAAGAAATGGGGTTGTACAAGATCCCGGGTATGTTTGGGTGAGCGAATACAAGGTATTTTCAACTAAGGGTGAACTCTGGGAAAATGGGTTATCAGAACAATATACTCCCACGCATAATTAAGAATGATATGGAAAAAGTCACGCATGAGTGAAAGGCTATCACGTGACTACTATTCTTGGAGACCGCATGCTATTGTAGACTACTTGAAATATGCGACGGGCTATATATATGTTAGATATCTCAAAGAAAAATCGTGATAAGACGTAGTACATTGAAGGAGCTCAAAGAAATTAGCCTCGGAATACAGTAAATTATATATTCGAAACAGAACTTCATGTTTTTAGACCTGAGTATCATCCCACCTTGTGTGTGGTCGGGCACCAATTATGTTTGTCACTATCCGTGACGGAACTCGGTGTAGGGTTTATAGGAGAGTCCAGAAATTGGATGACCAAAATTATATTACGTCATTAGTAGTACCGTACTAGTAGTACCCCACATGGAGAGAAAAACTATTTCGCACTCATAACGTTATAGAATAGGTCGAAATTTTTAAATTTTATGAACTTTTCTCGGTGCTCCCGAAGTATGCGATCCAAGATGGCGGACATCGGAACGTAACATGGGTAACAGGTTAGGGTTAGACGATAATTTTTTTCCAATTTTCCTTATTTTAGTCCTATTATCAGTTCGAAGACTAGCCAAGAGCCTCCCGTAGTATTTATAGCTAAAATTATGGCCTAACCCTAACCTAGTACACATATTACATTCCGATGTCCGCCATCTTGGTTCGCATACTTCGGGAGCCCCCTTTTCTCTTTATTTATCTTCACATTTTAAATAATGGTTTAAATGTAGGTTGCTGGTAAGGCACAGTTTATCATACGCTAAATGTAAAAAATCTGATTACGCGAAGTTTAGGTCAGGTTCGGTAATTACCACCTACAAGTGATTAGCCAACGATTTTAAATAAACACCTAAACTAAACTGAACAACAGCACTGACATAAACAAAGCTACGATTAATAATTCAATGGCACTGATCTGATTCAATAATTATTTGCCATGATTCAAATCAAGATAAAATATTTGAGGACCCATTATTGGTCCTTGAAATATTCGAATGCATATTTTGACCCCAAATCCGAAGATGACCCTTGTCTCTATCTATGTCGACCGTACTCAACAATTTGTGGTCAACGTAATTGAGTGAAATAGACCGAAAAATTGTTGAAAGAGGCAACCGCATCAAAACAGACGATAATATTCTACTACAGTTTAGAATTTCAACAAATACCAAAGGGTCTGATAACATAGTGTGTCAATGCCCGTTGGTTGTTGCACATCTAAAAACATTTTTTTTAATCATATCTGATGAAATCTTGTTCAGATGCATGTAATAAGTTGTTGGTATGAATATTCTTAACCTAATTTCCGCCTGCATTTACTGTTTGGTAATTTATTTTACTAGTTTTCTTTATATCATGGCGAAGTCATGTCTAATTAGTAATCAAGCAATAATATAGTATATTTAGCTGTTTAATTGTCTTTTGCCTTGCTTGTACTAAATATATATGAAAAAACATTTTTACTTTAAAATATTTCTGGTTTGTATATTAAAGTTCTTTTTTCGTTCTTACCCAAGCGCACACGTTCAGTATTACATATATTTTTAAATGGTTTTACTCTAATTTGTCACAGCTCATTTTCTACCTTTTGTTATCTTTACTTATTTGACCTCTCAACTTTTAATGCAATAACAACCTTAAATCGAAGTTAGACGGAAGTATTTTTTACTCCATATTACGACAAAAAATTGCTTTGGATTGTATATGGTTTATAAACTTTTGATAAACTTTGACATTTCGTGAGACCTTTGGCACCGTATTGTTAACAATATCGCGGAAATTTTGTCATGGCTTTGACATCTTGACGATGGCATTTTACAAAATAATTTTTTTTTTTCACTATTTATCATTGCTACTAGCTGTCAGAAACAAAGAACAATAGCAATCGTTCAAAAGTTTTGATAAAATTTGATTTAAAATATATTGTTTTTTTTTATATTCTTGAAAGGTTTTCCGAATAGTTGAACCAGTTTTATCGGTGTACAGAAACAGAACAAACTGGTATTGCTTTTCCGAAAAAACAATGCTTTTGACTATTTATTTTTTATTGTTCTTGCATATATAGTCGAACTCAGTTTCGAGTATATATTCACAAACATTTCACATACATTACACACCCTATTTACTAAATAATACCAATTAAATGGCTAGTTTAGTTCAGTATTGTAAAGAATATTGGGGAATGAAGTATATCTGGGACAGTGCCACAATGTTTCGTTGTTTTTCTACGTAGAATTGAAAGCTATTTGTATAATTGCTCTATCCTATTTGGAACCTGGGTCATGAAGAAAGTTCCACTCTTGTTGGTCATATTTTATTTTGATTGTTTTTAACCCGTTTTTGACAACTGCAAATTGCGTGTGGATGGAAATTTGCGAATTTTGAAAAGAGTTAACCCGTTCAACTGTATCGATTGAACGTCAGATGTAACCACGAACCATCTCTATTATCGTAAAAGCTAAGACGTGTATATCGATACATATTGATAACGTCACTTTTGTTGATAGAAAAATACGATTGATGGTCAAAAACAAACGTCTTTCAAGTCATGAAATAATATTAAACCGACATATATATTCGAAATTACACATTCAGCATTAGGATGAGAAATATTGACTCTACCGCTAATGATGACGGCTCCATGTTTATGTAACTTACGTATAAAAGTCCACTTTCAAAGATGCACTACATAAGAATATGACATTTTCGAGTACAAAAAAATACATATTTCTAATAATTAAATCACAATATGAGTATGGTTTTATATAACCCGATTAATGAAATTGAAATAACAGATATCCAATGGAATAAAAACTCTTTTTGGGGACTATCTTTTCAGTTGAATGCAAATTTAACGAGCGAAAATTTTGTCGTAAAAGCGCAACATGTTTTATATTAATAATTCTTCCTCCTAAACCAACACAAGCATGCACCTTAAAATTTGACGATATCACAAAACACCTGGACTGAAAGGTAACACCGTGGTCAAAATTTCGCCCAGAACACAAGTAAGGCATGACAAGTAGGCGTGTGAATTGAATTAGATCCTTTACCATAAACACAATTTCAAGTAGTTAGAGGGCAAGTCCCTGAAACAAAAAAAATCCGGGGATGTGACCTATTTTTTGGTTTATGAGCAGCAATGTCTTTCAAGTACCTGGAAGTACTTTGTGACAACAAACATGTTCGTAGTCTACGTTTTATTTACGGAAGTCCCGGAAATCCGAATTTTCAGCTCTTTGTGTTCTATAACTAGCATCTAATTTGCCTAATTATTTGTATTCAAAACTTATACAGGCTTTTATCTTGCAATAAAAAGAAACTGCACAAATCTAATGAGATTATCCAGCAGCAACATCTGTCAACTCAAAATGAAACAAAACTTTAGCCTTTCTAAAAATCCCCTTCAAGTAGAAATAGTTTCTTTAAAATTGGAAATTACTGAGTTCAAGTTACAATCATTGCGGAATTTCCAACCCTTCAAAAATATTTAAGTCGTAATAGAATGAAATTTTATAATCGCGTGCATGTGTCAAGATAATGTCAAAATTTTTTGGACAGTTTTGTCATTACTGAAATTGTAGTGTTTCCATAACATTTTGAGAAGTACCCCTAAACATTTACATTTTTGTATCATTTTTAAAGCTATCACATAAAGACATGTTCTTAATTGTCTATTCAGAAAATGACACATCTGCAAAGAACTTGATAAATCACCTCCAAGAACACTTTGCCACGTCATGAAACTTACGAATACCTGATAAAATGGCATTTTACTTACATTTGACTGCAATATGATCGACAGTGTTGTTTATGGTGACTCTCCAGCCGTCTCGTTTCTTAGCAGCAGGATTCATTATGTCCGACCAATTAATGGTGTCCAAGAAACACATTTTTGTATTCTGGACGATAGAAACATTTCCTCTTTGAATTTCAGTCAGAGATTTGAATCTGAAATACAAAACAAATATTTCACAATTCGATATATGTAACTATATTCTGATATTTTGAGAACGTCTAGCTGAGTAAGCAAGCTAGAGATTTGAAAACCGGATTTTTTTTATTTTTTTTATAAAAATTGAACAAAAAGGAAATATTCTAGACTAGAGCAAAATATTTTGTCATTTCATACAAGATTCTTTAAGCCTGTAAGTTGGTGAAATGGATACTTAAAGGCAAACTTGATGATCATTTTAGCAAATAACGTTGTAATCTATACCGAAGTCATTAAATATTTAGGCGTGGCCATATTTCTTTGGTAACCACACCTCATGCACCCCTTAATTTGCTTGTGAAGTTCAGGTCACTGATAGAACACGACATCAACTCAACCCGACCATAAATATTGTCCGAAAAGACTTAGCCCATTATCCGCCCCTTGAACTGGAAGGAAAACTCGTCATTTCGAGTGAAGTAGATGATAGATTAGTGTGTGGATTAAATGTATCAATTTCGTTTCTATTGTTGTACCAGTCTGCGGTTTCGACGTAAGATATCAACGAAACTCGACGCCCTTCATTAACAGAATAAGTTGTTTCGATGAATATTTATTTGGAATTAAAAAAGGTTTTAAATTCTTATCTATTCAGCAAAGTTTAGGTGTGCATGATTGCCATCAGGTAAACTCATGTTGATGATATAATTTGATATATGATATAATTTGCTAACACCGGTTGTGCTTCATTTATTATCAACAAAAGTTTAAGTTGGTCTCTTATATTCGTAGAGGTCACATTCGTGATTTTTAGCAAGTGTTATGTTTAGATAAAATTGTATTTGGATTCGATTTTGTTGGTTGACCATCATGCATGATTTTTTAGGATGCATAAGGTAAAACAGTTAATCTCAGAATTTTAGTCAAATATATAAAGATCAAGTTAAATATATTTCGTACTGTAGCAACAATGCGAATATTTTAAATAAAATGAAACAAAACTATTCTTTTCGATTTTCAGTCAATATTGTCACTTTATACCGCTTTTAACAAAATTTAATACCACTAAGCTTATTTCTGTTCCGTTGATCGCCAAATTAAATATGATTGCCAAAGGATCACATTGGAACCCGCACGAATTCGGCTAAATGTTCACTTATAATCTAAGGGAGCTGAAAGATTTAAGTCAAGTAAACTTAAAGATATCCCCTTGGTCATTATATAAATAGGCTATGACGTTTTTTTTCAGAACGCAGGTGGGCAAACTATCAAGTATACACAAAGCTAAGACCAATGTGAAATAATAAAAAGCACTGGAGGTTGGATGATCGTCTAATATTGATTTTTCATGGTATCGTTGCAAAGCAAACTTTTGTACGCTCGTTTAGCTAAATCTTTGTCAGCTTCTTACAAAGAAAAAGACTTTGTTGATTCAGAAAAAGTCACCGAAAGGTCTTTTGCTTTTGGGATTTCTTACAACATTGATATATCAAAAGATTAGATGCTAAAGTCGTGTTACCTGAAATCCTGTTTGATAAATGGCATTGTATTTGCCAATATATTAACAAACTAGAAATGTACTCAAATCACAATTTATAAGATGTTGATTAGCGCATAGGTATTGATTGTTTTTTAAATGACGCCAATCGACTTTAGGTCGGTAATTCAGCTTTTTTACTGAGCTTTTTTGGTATGGTTATTGAAATTTTAGCATATATATTAAAATAACTGCTTATTTCAATTTTGATGTCAAGGCAAACTTCCTACAACTTGAAGACAAAACGTGAATGAACGTCGAAATTGAATGAAATGGAATGAAAAAAGATGCAACATAATAAAGTTGATGGCAAGTAAGAGAATAACAGCAAAACAATTTGTTTCAAATTGATTTGGCGTTAGGTTTTTTGCACGATTGGGTAAAAAAATTATCATAGATATTCATTGAATCGACTTGGTATAAACAACCAAGGATATTGCTTATGTCATAACGACCATTCACTGACTATTGATAGAAAAATAACTATTATATAATACGAAAGTATAACAACAAATGAAAGAATTTCACTGTTGGATAAAATAAATAAATAAATTATAAATGGACATGATTGAACAAAAACACAACATAATACGTCCGTATTCCACCACTGCGGCGACATTCTATTTCGTGTACGTCAGTCACTTAGCTGCGATTCTTGCGTCATGTTGAATATCATGTAAATTAATAATGCATGCGACGTATCGACGTAAATAGAAAATTATTTCACACCAATCATATATTTTGCTTTTCCGCCCCAATTTTAGGATACTGTGACAACATAATGACATGTTGTCCTGTGTCGAAGATAAAAATAGCAACATCGATACAGGAAGTGCATGAACAAAATACTGACGTCACAATCAATATCAATTTTTAGAACAATGGCTTTGTTGACCACGTGATGATGTACTGACGTCACATCCGGTTATTGTAATCTTTGGTTACTTGATTTACAAATGTTTACCAAAATAATGGCATTCAACATTATAGCGACGACATTTTATAAAAAAATATTTGGATGACGTATAACTTCCGTTCAATCGATTAATCAAATCAACACAATCAATCAATTCTATCGAACCGAATTAGTCTTATGTTTTCAATATTTTTGTGTTTTCATTAGAAATAGAAACGTTCTTTTTAAAAAAATATTTTTATCCATTTGATAAATTAATCTAAACCAGACAAGACTAATCTAATTATTCCCTCCTACTTGCCCTTGATTTTAATAATTAAAAATTGTTTTGGCCTTAGCTCACTTCCTGTTTATTCCATCTGTTTTATTTCGTTTTGAATTTTTTGTTATTTGAAAAAAAAATGATTTTTATTTTTTATAGAATATTATTCCCTTGAGGTCTACACACCTGCGGTAAGTCACGTTCAAAAAAAAAGGCAATCACATATACATAATATTATTAAAGTAGAAAAAATAAAAATAACCTAAAATATCAGTTAAATTGGAAGAAACTTTTCTTCAGCTGACGAAATTAATTTTACAATTGACAGGAAAAATAATTAAAAAGGGATTGTGATCGCAGAAATAAAATATGACAGCAAATAAAAATTGTCTCTAAATTCGAGAGAAATAAAAAAAGAGAGTTCTATTTTCTTTTTGAAATTTATATTGTTCGGTCACAATAATTCTTCCAGGTATAGGTGAGCTTTAAACATTGGGGCGAAAACCATAAACTTGTTCCAACTTTTGACAAATTAAGTAATCAATATAAAAGTCGAGTTTATGTAAGTTTGTGTAAAGTTACACACAATTACAACAATACAGGAATGAGGTACAACAATAAAGTCAAATTTTCGAATGAAAATGGTACAGATCTCATCAAAATATAATAAAAGTTTTATGAAGAAATGTATTAGGTGTATATATTTCATTTTATTTATAATTGCTACTCCCATAAATGGCGACCTGTTTGACGCTTTCGCGACGAGAGTTTCTAAAGTATAATGTTCGAATATTCTTTATTCATTATTAGCGTTTTATAAAATCGGGATATTACATCAATAAATTTCCAAATATGTTTAACCCATTACCTGGAACAAACGAAAATCCCCATATTCCTTCTATGACTTATCCTAAATTACTCGATAAAGAAAGGGTTAATTAACGCCAAATCCTTGTTAATTGCTGCCGGTACGTCCGTTGTTGATAGATTTACTGTTGATCTGACTCACACTGCAGATGCATTAATGGCAAGAGCAAATCGAGAGGCCAAGTTGTTTATCGGCGACACTATTTCTGTCAGCTATAATTTGGGAATAATTTGGCACTTGAGTGATAACTTGACAGAATAGGAGAATAAACGCATTCCGTGAAAACCTGATTGACTGCACTTTTAAAATGGACAAATGCGTTGTGGCAAATCTGTTGAAATATCTCATCGACATGGTTTCCGTTTATTTGCAAGTAAACGACAAATAACAGGTTAGAGATGAATATTTCGTCAATCAAAATCAAAATGGCGGTCGTAATTAAGTATAGTAAAATATCATTATTCAGATGATTAAAATCATACGATACTGCTAAATTCGAATCGAAATTGAGTGATAAACCACTGTTGAGTGCTGAGAAGCTAACAAGAGTTAGGTTAAGATCATTCATCATTGGTAACTTTCAATCAAATGTCATTTGCAGACGGCTTGGTGATAGAGTCAAACCGAGTTACAATATACCGGTATTCATAATTGTTTCTCTGAATGTAGAAACTTTAAGATCACTTAAAACTATAAAACCAGCATTAAAACTCAAATTGTGAGTACTTTTAAAAGTTTTTTAAAAGGCGGCATAAATGATTCAGTATTTGTAATAATCCGGATTTAGTTGTGGAAGAAAGGCTGTTGTATCTCAAAATAAAGTTATATTTTATTCTCAGATTTTATCTACAATTAAATATTCTTTATTTACGAGTAATTTATTGTGCTTAGTTGGAATTATTTCCCAACGACAGTTACTTCACAGAGTGCTTTTATAACCGTAAGCCAATAGGAGTGAGTGAAAACTCTAAACGTCTAAAACTACGAGCAAAACATATGATTTTTTTCAGTTGACGAATTCTCGAAATGTTGAAAAAGATCCGAAATTGGACAAATCAAGTCACCGTTAAATAATTTTTCTGCAAATTACTGAATATTTCTGATACTGAAATCTTTTTTCTATATTCTACTGTGTTGAATTACTTTGTTCTTTGAAAAATAAAAATTAAAAAAAAGACAAAAACAGACGTATGGTTTGAATTTACTAAATGGGTGGAAAAATTCATCGTTGGTATGAAAATTGATCTGTTTGTGGCTGGGATCGTCGCGTGACATCGGATGATAATATCTGATTATAGATAAGTATAATTGAACAGATAACAACCAGAGGCTTGAAGATAAGAAATATTATTGATATTTATTGAAATTGAACACCTACGTTCACAAGAAATCGACACCATTGTGACGTAGTAAATTTAAAAAAATAAGTTGAAAATTCTACGTTTTGGACAAAAACAAACCAAAAATATAATCGAAGTTTTTGACATTTTAATGTTTACAGAGTAGCCAATTACTATTTTTCGTAAAAATTGATGCCTATTCACACGCAATTCCAATTTGAAAAATCAATAATCTTGAAAATTTGACAGGTTTGTTACGCAGAAAAGGACAGAAAAACACCATTATTATTCATGCGCTCGACCATTGGCTCGCTCATAGCTATCCTGATAAAAAGATACAAATTTTTCTAACTTGGTTTAGAGAAAGTAATTCAGAGAAAGAATTTAGGAAATTGAAATGACTGAGAAAAACTAAGTACTTTGATGTTGAATGAATAAGTTTTGTTGGTATAAGATTTTTAGATTTTTTTGAAACCAGATCCAGTTGAAGTACGTTGAGGATATGGGGAAAATTTTTGCTATTGCCTGGTAGGACAACATATTGATATTTGTGAAATTGGCATTCAGCAAACGGACAGTAATTGGCCATTTCAAACAATTGACGTGACCTTTGGGTCAATTAGTCAACAACATTTACGTAATTTCAACGAAAACATAACATTTGTCTAAATAATAAAAAAGAATGAAAAAAGGTTCTTCTCCTTAGCGGCATCCCACAAGGGTCTGTTCTTAGACCTTAATTATTTATTCTGGCGTAAAAACGTGAAATTGAATTATTCTCGTCCACTAATCGAATGAACACATGTTTGCAAGAATAATTACTGATTAGCAGTAGCTACGAGACTTGTTTCTTGAGCAAATAAACGCCAAATTGCGGTTGAGGTAGTATTATTAAATTTTTGCAAAGAAAATTAGAATTTACAAAAAGGAAGAAATTGTTTTTCACTATATTTCATAGAAAAGGCAATAAACATGAGGTCGATGTTGCACACAGACTTCTCAAAAAGTGATTTTTTTTCTAGCAGCACAAAATATAACCAAAACCAAAATCTTTTAGTTTGGTGCTATCTTATACATGATTATGTTAAGAGATAGAAAACATTGGTAGTAAAAATTTTCATAAAATGTTTTATTGGCAATTTGATATTCTGCAATATTCTGTATAGCTAGCCATATCACACTAAATACCATGGGTTACCACAAATAAACTTTTCTAACTTACCCAATCTGGCGTAATCCAAGATTTGGTTGATATTTATCATAATTAAAAACAACATTGAGTGCGAGTTTGTTGGGCCCATGTAATTCTTGACCTCGGATGATCTTCAATTTTTCAAGAGGAATGTAAGGAAGATAGTTGATGGCGATTAAAACATATCCGGTAACAACTTCGATATCCTGTAAATGACATATGATATTTTAATAATTGTAAGATTTTAATGCACAAAAAAATATATTTTAAAGCAAACAAATTCCCCAAAAATATCAAATTTGAAACGCTCATTGAAAGTATTGTTGTAATTGTATTCAAATCATATCTGCTAAATGACCCCAAACACTGACAGTTGTATACATAAATCGGCGTGAAAGTTTGCGACATGATTATCATGATAACTGCGGCGAACTTGACTTATTTGAAGTGTAGGGTATCAATATAGATTTCTGCAATTTCTGTGTGCATTGCAGCACACATCATGCTCCCATTATGTTCAAGATCTTGTTCAGTATGAATTTTATATATTTCGATTTCTCAACTAGTATGGATTGCCAGCAAACAGAATTTCTATTGGAACATTTCAATGGTGTACTATCCGGTGCCTTGTTGGAGACAAAGAGAGGAAACAGCTGTAAATAGTAAGGTTAAATGAAGAAAATATTCTATCATTGTTAAAAAAAGAAATCTAAATCCTCTATATATATTTTTTGTATGAAATTAGTATTAATTACAAGTGGAAGAACTGAGTCTAATAATGAATATTATGCTTTAACAAATGCAGTTATATTCAAGGAAATACACCATTTTCAAAGCCAAATATTTAAAAGTTTGAGTCCTTATAAAATGCACGTAAATTTCCATCATCAGCAATATAGCCTTGGGGTATGTGTAAGTACATATTAAAACGCAGCAACTTAGACCACGATTGGTGAACCACTGATTTTATGTGACGAGAAGATATAATCTTCTTGACTGACATTACATCTGATAAAGCGAAGACAGTAATTATTGTATTTTTTTTAAATAAAAAGAAGATTCAATCGCGTACATGCGTAAAAAAATGTGGTATATTCAACAAATCATGATTGTTTTCCAATAATAAAAGAAAAAGATATTTTGACGTTTCGTGACAGTGTCATTTAATAACTGTTTTTGAAAATGAAACTCTTTCTTAAAAATTATATTATAGACTTTAACTGCATGAAGGCATGTCCATTTTAAGGTGCAATTTTCTCAAAATACCCTTAAATAAAATAAGAAAAAAATAATGCGAATCGACGTTCCTCGAGATCAATTTTTAGCTAAATTCTAAAAATAAAATTTAACAAAATTTAAGCGGAATCAATCAGGCCGCAAGATGCACAAACACGGCAATGGATTGGGAAATGAAACAATTCAAGCAAAAACCGAAAAGTTTGGTGTATCGTGGCATTTCGTCTTATGGTAACCTAGTCGAAATACAGTCTATTTCCTTACGCCCGTCTAGCAGTATATAGCCTAAATAGATTTATTTTTTGCTTACTGAACAAAACTTCGCATTTTAGTTTGTTTTACAACAATAAGTTAAAAAAAAATTAAAAAAGTTATCGCTTCAGTCAAGTTAACTTCTAAACTTCATCACAAACACCATTAAAATATCCAATGTCACGAGATACTGAATAGAAATAAAAAGGAAGACATCTTTGAAGTGCAAATGGGCAAGTGCTACAGCATATTTTTGTGAAATATACTTCTTGTTGCAAAAAGTTGCAACAATTAAACTTACTTTAAGGAATGAGGCATCGATGTTCGGATTCTCTAACCCGGATATTTCGAGATTTCCTTGAACAATCGTGCAGTTAGTATATCTGATAACAAGTTTATTCAAATGGTCCAAACGATCTTCGGCGATAGAGAAAGCTGAATTCGTTCCCAGACATCGAACAGCTGAAAATAGAAAATTTCGTCGATGAATTTCCAAATTTTTAATGCAATAAAAGAGTACGTATTTGATATGACACATTTTGTTTCAAGGAATGATTCAGCCATGGCACCACTAATACAGGAGTTATATGAGTAGGAAAGACCGGTTTGCCGCCAAATCCATTTTACTTCATCTTTGATTCGTTGATCACGATTGGAAAATTTTTGCTACGAGAAAGTCCATATTTAAAAAGTTCTCTTTTTTACAAATGCAGAAATTGGATTGGTGAAATATTTGTTCTATCTGTCTAGGTTTGATGTGACTTTATTGTATCTTTTGGCCTTTATAAAGCTTTGTTTTAGAAAAGAATCATAAATTCGATGCTAATTGGTATAGCTGATACAATTCATATCGGTAATAGCCAATGATAATTAGAGACGAATACGGTTTTGCGCGGATAGTGTGGTTATATGCCTTTTTTAATATGGATGTTAATAAGCGTAATGATTCTCTAAAGCAGATGTCTACTAAATCGTAAAACAAATGAACGGTGCACACATATCCCGTAGATAAAGCCAACAATTTTTCACGTTTTTCAAGTGGCCGAACAAAGCCAATTTTGAGTATTATATTATCCCTAATTCACCATAAACGGAAGACGTTATCATACACAGGAATAGAACATTTAATTTGAACCGGTAAAATCAACAAGCTATACTCTTACACGTTTAGTCGGGCGTATCCACTCGATTTATGCAAAACGACGCTTACCGTGGGTCGAGGGGTTCTCTTTGTTTTTGTCGAGTTGCTGTATTCTCACTGCAGTTCACATAGCAAATCGAGCGTAACGAAAGGGTATCGACTCCACACGCAACCCAGTTTTTATTCAGAAATTCAATCTTAACCAACATACAGACCTTAATAATTGGAGTTGGATATGACAAAGCAAAACTATAAATTCTGTTGTATGAATTAAATTGGTCTTTAACAGCATTTCCAGAACAAAACACAAAATATGGTGAATAGCATACGGCAACAAAATTTCGATTTCAACGATTCTTTGTAGAAGCAACAACTCATATGTACGTATTTTAATTCGAAATCACAAAATTTTAACAGTTTAACCTACTCCAAGTATTACACCCAACATAAAATATGGAGATTGGGTTGACTGATGAATTAAAATGGGCTCTTAAACATGTAAGCAACTATTGAAATAGTGATATAATTCAATGCAGAGAAGGAAGTCGTCAATTAACATATAAAAATGAAGAGTAGAATTGTAATGTGTCTAATATCAGAAACAAAGATTGGGAACTGGGGCGCCGGCCAAGAAATCCATGACAATATTGAATATTTTCCATCTCTATACAACTATATTCCCTAAATTCAAGTTTACCAATATATTTATAAATACTGGAAGTTGGCACAAAATCTATGCTTGATCACACACACAAAAACCCTTTTAAAACATTGGCCCATAATATTGTGACAGTGCGGTTAGGAGCCCAGACCTCAGACGCCAGGCTACGGCTCATGAACAGTCAATGAAAACAAATTGTGGACTAAATCGTTACATTAGGACTTGAGGTATGAAAGTGGCCCTTATTTGACCCTGTGCCCGAGGATAATACTAGAATGAGTAAACACACACTATTCTATAGGTGTGTGTATTTACTGGTCATAAAACAAATAAGTTCAAGGTGATTAGCAGTATTTGAAAACTTAACATGCTACAGGAAGGAATATAATGATGAAGGTCATACAAAATATTTGTAATAAAATGCGAATAGATTATTCTCACTGGCTTGAAGTACTTCTAACGTTCTAGTGAATTACCCGAAGTTCGAATTTTTGTTTTTTTCTGAACAATTCTAACCATATAATCAATAACATCACATCCCAAGATTGACAGTCCGTTTTTGTAAACTAGTGAAATTGTACGTGCGTATGTAGAAGTAGCTAATCAAAATTGATTTATCATCGTATATTATGTTCCAAGGGGAGCAATTTTTATTTCACTTAATATTATTCATTACTAAAACTGGCAACAGTAAAGAATATATTTCGTATCAGGCGTCAGGTCATCGCGAAGAATTTGATACCAATTAACTAACTATTCAGCCATTCCCTGCCCTAGTTGATGCACTTCAAATTATATATATACCTATGTTTGCGGACGTATTATGGGGTTAGTTAGAGTTGTTTTGGGCGAGGAGCAATTAGCCGATCCCAGCGCATTTCACCCTTTAGTCGTCGCCCACACGCATACCTAAAATAATTTTACTTTCAAAACTCTAATAAGGTCTCGGATGAAATTTCCATGCGATGTGGACATTCTGCTCAAAACAAAAGCATCATGTTTCAAAGACTTAACACGTCAGGTATTTCCATAGCCTTACAGTGTAAGGAACGCATCGTCCACATACAAACATAGACAATGGAATAAGAACCAGAATTATCACAGTTCCCACTTTATTATTTGTGCTTTTAGTTTTATTATATATTTCATTATATCTGGAAACAAGAGTAGAGATTTTTAACAAATAAAGCATTATCTATCTATATTGTTATAAACTTATTTCAACCGATCAACAAGTTTACTGTGAAACCTTCATGAACGCCTTGTGGTACCGACAAAAAGTAGTAGGATTTTGATGGACTGGATAGAGATCAAATACATACAAACTTACGCTTTTTTATAGTATATTACCCTAAAAAATAAGTGCTGTGTTGAGTATATGGTGGGTAATTAGTACTCCCAGTGAGGACACGTTGCTTCTGTATATTTGTATTGCACTGGTGTGGCCATAATTCAAGTTAGCTTGGTACTTGAAGATAGTACAGTTGCGCCAATGCTACTTAACAAAATAAATTTCTGCTCTAATATGGCCCATACGAAAAAGGATGGTCGACAAGTGAGGCCCGTTTGTGGCTCTTGATGAACTGGTTTACAATGCGTTAAACCTCGGAGAATCGTCCCTTTTCTACCGGCAGATTTTGCCACTTAGGTACTGTTATCAATAATATATATAATTGATTTGCCAATATTTTTGACGGTATTTGTTTTACCACACTAGTTTGAGTGCGAAGCCATCGGAGCATACAGGAACATACAGACCCACGCCATTCAAATCGTACATAAGAAAAAACGTGTTTGTTTGCATTCAAACCAACACGCATCAGCTAACATCACAGCCTATATTTGACAACCTTAAAAAACAACCATTTGCGCGAATATTGAATGTTCTCAATCCATCAATTTAATGAGTATTAAAACACGCTTCCTGCATTTATGTCCATATAGTAAAAGCTAATTGATTTATTTTTCATTTGAAAAAGCAAAATAGCGTTAATATTGAATAAATGTGTCGCGTGCAAAAAGAAATAGAGACATATATTTTTTGGGAAAAAAAATACGAAAATGGTCTGTTGTCGTGAATTGCTTGTGTGATGACATGACATTGGCAACAATTTTAGGGGCGCCATGATATTATGATAATACTTTGAATTATGAATTTTTTACTGAATTAGCGGTTTACAAATCATTTACGCACTCGCCTCCAATCTTTTTCAACTATCCTAATAGAACGCTATGAATGTTTAGACACAAGGTGGTGTTTGGTTCAAAAGAGACTGTTGTTACAGATCTAATCAACTACTCTTTTTTAAATTGTGATTCAAAAACATTCAAACAATCTTAAACATTCAAATTTTATGTTACCGCCAATCGTTCATTTTAGGAAATAATGTACTTTGCGGTAAACGCGTTATAAGATTCCGAAACACGGCCTTAGTTCGTCGCCGCGATTTTTGAATGAGAAAGTAATCTGTCCCAAATCGGAAGAATTGCGTAGTCTGCAAACCTGCGGCTTCCCCCAATATCTCTGAATTTAATCATTATTATCCGCCACAAATTCCCAAACCCACCCTCTGACGTCAGAAGAAGATTTTTTGAGTACAAATGAGATTGAAAACACGCTGAATTACAATGGATGCAATAAATAGAACTTAATGTCATAACGACGGCGCCACAGTCAGATGACACCAGCAATACTTTGGTACACCACGAATTATAGCACAAATGCATCCGAATTCGACGTGTATTTGACAGTTACCACAATGTAAAAACAATACTTCGGTGCATTGGGTTCGAAATATATATTTTACTAAAAAATTACTAATTTTAGCTTGATTGTAGTTCAATAAACGCGATCATTTTCGTGCAACCTTACGCCCCTTTGTTTCAGGCGCGAAATAGGTATAGAAGTATGAAACTGGTGGCCTGAGAGGCAACGTTATGTTTCCAATTTGGCATGGCCCTATCAACAACTTGAATCCCTTATTGATCTGGTATATATATGCCAGTGCATGAGGGCCGTGCATTGATCTGACAATAGTATGAATCCAAAGTCGTTGAGCTGCAATGCCAATGAAGTTAGACCAATTACACAGCCACTACTTCACATTTACAGTGAGTAAATTCGGAAAAATCCTCACCATTAGTTTATTTTCAACAACATATACGGAAGCTGTTGGATCACTGTTTGTGAAGTCCACCCATCGATTACTGCGAATAAATATGTGGAAAGGCAATTATAAGATTCTAATCAGAGAATTGATCTTAATTAGTGGTAAATGCTGCCAAAAAAGTGGATGGTTTTCATTATATTTTTCTTCGTGCATTTTTGATTGAATTACATATTGCTGTTATGTTCGTATGGGTTCACCCCAAGGTTCACGTTTGGGTCCTGATGTTTCAATTAGATTGAAGATATATTCTAATATATTGACGTATGTAGATGAAAGTTTACAACGATAGTATTGTAGCTATATAAAAAGCCCTAGTTTGCACGCGAATCCTCAAAAAAGCGACAAAACGACTCTTTTAAAAATGTCATAATTTGATGCATCACATTATAGAGCAACATATATACACAATTAAACATGACAAATCACCATAAAAGCCGTTAAAACATGAACAAACAAAATGAACAATCGAAAATGCAAACGTCATAAACGG